GGTAGATAGATAGACAGACAGACAGACAGACAGACAGATAGATAGATAGATAGATAGATAGACAGACTGTGTATTCCAAAATAGTCCTCGTAACACACTCTTCAAATCTAAATAAAGGTCCTTTGTAACACAGATTGAAGAAGTTACATAATAAATTTCATATTTAAACCCTGCTTTAAATAATTTACTTTTTAATTCTATATTGAAAAATGCCTTTTTTTAGGATCACCTCTTCATCACTGAACATTAAATTACAATGCATTCTATTAGAATAAACCTTGACCTGCACATCAAAGGTGCTCCAAGTAACATTAATTTCATGAAAATTGTAGTCTAATGGGTTTCAGAGAAGACTAGTACAAAGAAAAGACGAATTTTGGTTAATTAATTAAAGAGAGATGGACTACTGAGACAAACCTAAAAGCACAGGAAGTTAAATAGAGGCTTGATAACATTAGCGCTAAAATGTATGAGAAACCTCACTTTGATGATAATAATTTTAGTTAGACTGTTGCATATTGCAGATGTTTCAGCCTTTAATTTCTCACTGGAAAAACAATGAGTAAGAATTAATTAAAGCTAGGAGAAGAAAAAAAATCTACTGATTACTATTCATTGTTTTTCTATGTATAAATGACAGCAAGGACATTACATATCTTACATTAATTTTTATGTATGTATTATGTCTATATTAACATTAATATAGTAGATTAACTGTGGAAATCAATAGAGTATATGCAAACACAAGCAGTACAGGTTCTGCCTGTGGTCATATACCGATATGACCACAGGCAGAACCTGTACTGCTTGTGTTTGCATATGCTCTCTCTGAGCATCAACTACAACAACAAAAAAACAACAAAAAAACAATATGAGATCTTTTGCATAATGGATGAAAAAGGGATCAATGTGCAGTGACTATTTCTTGCTTGATTAATGAGATTCATGTTTTCTGGTGAAGTTCAATGTGAATAAATGATACGCAGGGGGCATGTCGCTTATGAAGCCCATGTCACTAATCCACTCATTTTGTTGAAGCATTTATGAATTTCTGCAGTTTATGGAGAAATAAAAAAGAAACTCTTTTAAATGTTTCACATCTCGTATCCCAAGACCCTCTGCAAAACATTAGAAGGCCTACATGCCTCGATGGACACATATTCAGCATGTTCGAAAGTAAGAATTATGCTTAAACTTCATCCATCAAATGATGCCATTAATCTTATGGCTTTATGTTTATATAATGAATGCTTTCTATTTCACAGTAGGGGAGATGTTACGTCTTTTGACTTTCTGCAGCAATTTCAGGATCTGCGCATATTAACCTCTAATATCACTTTTATCTTATTTAAATGGGGTGGGGGGTGTTGTGGGTAGATATTCATATTTCATCCAAGCGTATCTCGATATGATTGATGGTATGAACTGAAATCAAATTATCTCTCAATCTAATGGATTCCAAGGAAGACAGAGCACATGATGAACGAAAATGCCTATGTCACCTTTGCTCTGTCAAAGCAGATGTTCATCAAACTGAGAAAAATGTACCGTGTAACATTACTTCAAGGTAGCCACAAGACCAAACTAAAATTGTACGAAAGAGAGTGATGTAGTACAAACAGACAGACGAGTAGCTTATATATATATATATATATATATATATATATATATACTACAGACACATAAATACACAACCGCATAAATACATGCTATTATAAAATATGAAAAAAACTAAATGGTTCAATGGTATATAAAAAAATAAAATAAAATAAAATACCTCTTTAACTGTTGGCAGAACGACATATCGCAAAATCAGATGCAGCTGCATTCTCTGTCTGAGATCATGGAGGATTTGTGTCTCAAAGCAAGAACATGATAAATAATAACCATATTCTAAAGCCTCACAAACTCAATAAACATGGATAAATGTGGCCTGTCTGTCTGCGCCTCCATGAGAGTATTGGACTCATCATCGCTCATAAAATCAGCAGCCAATGAGGAGATAGATCCCGCATATTGTGGTTGCCAGGAGAGACAGCAGCTGCAGCTGAAACCCAACAAACACAGCTGAGCATTTATGGCATCTCACTTTTCTTCACAACAACATAAAGGGAAAGGCAGAGAGAAATCAACTGTATAATTAAGGTAATAACACTGACTTCAGCACATCAAATGGATACTTTGAGTATCCCTCACTTGTATTTCATACATACACACAAACATCTGAGTGTTCAGGGTTGTTGCTAGGAGTTCTGGGCCTTGTTCCTTTACTTTATTTTATTTGATTTCTCTTAAATCTATTTTAGCTGAATTACATAAACTGATGAGCTCATATGGCTGCAGTAAATCAAACAGGAGGTTCAGCGATGTTTTATTAGCTAATTCTGACATGTTCAGCAAGTTGCATTTTAACCTGAGTTTGATGAATTTGTAGACAAGCTGCTGATGCAGTGTACTGTAATAAACTGCTAGTGCATTTGACCATTAAAGCAAAAATCTGTTTTTAAGGAACAGCAAATGTTTTAAACATTTTTCTATCTATTTTTTGAGGCGACGACATGAAAAATGGACAGTATTTGAAATAATTTGCTTATCCGTAACTGAGAGCATGACTTTGATTTTACATTGTGCCTCACAATGTTTCTAGCATCATTTTACCCAATTTATTTTTCTGTTTTTTTTTAAATAAACAAATAAAAAACCACATATTTTATACACGTATATAAGATTGTCAGGAAACATTGCTCAAGACACATTTTATATTATTATCACTATTGAAAACAGTTTTTGCTGCTTAATATTTTTGTAGAAATCTTGACCACTATGATTCAAAACTCTAAGAATTAAAGAAAAAAAAATACTTTTATTCAGCAAGGACACATTAACATGTACAGATATTTATAAAAAAATGTTTAATCAAATATACTGTATGCAGCCTTGGTGGGCATAAGAGACTTCATTTAATGCATAAATCAGTAGAGAATATATAAGACGTGCATGTATGTATTTATTTATTGATACATACATACATATATACATACCACAATTCTTCTTCTTAATAATAATATGTATAATAATAATAATAATACATTTCATGCAAATTATTTTGGAAGACTGAATAATACACTCCGATTTTGAAAACATTTCTAAATTGGATCTCTGTTAAGTTATAATAGATTGAAATACTTAGAGCTGTCTTTCTCTTTTTTTTCCAAGACAAACTACCATATAAATAAGTCTTAAAACTCATTCCTCTAACAAGCCAATAGAGTGCACTCTGAAAAACTTCCTATAAGCAAATATATACTTTATTCTTTAATGAAACAGAATCTTTATGAGGACAATCAACAAATGCTACTTCAAAATAAGACTACTATCCACTTACAGAACTACTGTACAATCTATTGTACAGTTCCATCTCTTATCAAACAAGAAAAAATTATTAATAGGAGTAACTTACAATAATGATCCGATGACTATAGGCTGGAACTGAAATTGCTCACATTTACAGATTACAGAGATGCAAACCATCACTGTAATCATATTCTTAAATACAGCTGAAGTAATGTGGGAGTAAACATGCCAATATTTACAACGTCTCCATTTAGATTCACACAGCTAACCATCCTTTACTGTGAACCGGGAGAAGGTATATTACGTCGAGTCCAGTGTTAAATTATATCAGCATACACGTCAGTAGCCACTCATGAATGCAATTTGAATATGAGGCAGATGAGATGTTTTTACACATGGGCGCCTCCCGGTAGGTGAGGACAGGTGGAAGATCTGCTCTCCGACAGGTTGTAATCACTGTCAGTCAAAAGGTGCTCGGCCAGAATGGCCCAGCTGTTAATTTGTGCCTCCTCAAATAAAAGACAATCACAGTGATTGGCTGTCACCCTTAACCCTTCAACTGTCAGCCTAATGGAGGTCTTCAACTCCAGGCAGGAGCAACTGTTCAAACTGAAAATGAATTGAAATGTAACAGACAAATGATTTATTGCTCATCTCAGTGGGGTAATAACTAATTTCGGAGATGTATCCTGTTGGTTGAGACCAAAGCAGCGCTGTAGAAGAAACAACAAACCCCAGCATGTGCGGACACGTGTGATTGGTTCATCTGCGATTCCGATTAGCTTAACTCGAGCCGAGCCCCCATTTGAGTAGCACTTCAGACTAGCATAATGAATGAATGAAATCCAGAGGAAACTACGAGGCATGGCTGCAGAAAGAGAATGTTCAGAGACTGAACAGGAGGAGTGAGAGAGAGACTGACGTGAAACAAGCAGACTGGGGTGAAGCTGGAGGCAGAGGATGGCACACAGGAAGGAAAGTGAAAGGTCAGCCAGAAGAAGACATGTGAAAAGACAGACAAGGCAGGAGACGACATACATCAAAAGGGTAAAGAATAAGGAAGTTAGAAGAGTCCAGAAGACAGA